ACGGTTAAGTACCTCAACGTTGGGACAAGAACTGATGCGTGAGCCACAGAATTTCCGGAAGGTAGTCCACATCTCACGAAAGTTTTTGTTGCCCAAAACAGTCTCGACGTACATTCCGTTCAGGCGTCTTACTTCTGCTTTAATCAGAACAGAGAGCTCTTTGACACTGTTACGCCTGCCGGCCATATATGCCGTCTCTTTAGCACGACGAAGTCGCAGGGGGAGGAAAACCTATCGGTTCGAATATAAATAGTTTCAACAGGACAGCATTGGTCATAGCAGAAATTAAGATAATCGGTAAGGTGTTCACAAGAAGAATACAGCTGGTTATGGAAGAACACAGAAAAGTCAGTAGAAGAAACTAAGCCCCGCAGTCGGGACAAGTTCTTAGGAGAACAATTTCTCTTCCGTAGCGTACGAGAAATGGGTCGTGTATGAAGGCAGTGATTAGTTTTACCATATACTTTGGGGTAAAGAAGAATGGTACAATGGTCAGAAGTACTAATTGGGGCTCGTTTAAAAACGTGAAACACATTGGGACTATTTATATAAATGCCATTGGGAAAGGCATTGGTACGGGTAGGAAAATTGACAATGTTCTCTAGGCCTAGAGTGGTTATAAAGGAAGTATCAAGGCGATTAAAGTCACCAGCGGTAATACATAAGAAATGGCCAATACAACTGGCGAATTGCGTCACTACAGCATCAGAAAATAGTCTTATATTGGGGGCGAGTATAGCAGGGGCAACATAAATATTCACAAAGTAAATGAAGCGAAATCTGCGGAGAAAGCGGGGCTTGCAGCAAACAAAAGTAGTTAATTTTACTTGTTGAGTAGGAAAAAATCATACGAGTGTTCTTACACCAACTTTGATTTACGAAAGTGACCACTCCGCCACCTCTGTTGCGAAATTTCACAATCCAATCACTCCTGAAAAGCCGTCTAATCCGACCACATCATACTGGCGAAAACGGCTACCCCTGATGAGCTCTGCAGTCGACTACTCCACAAAAACACGGACTGACGATCAGGTCGATTTAAGAAAATTGTTTATCTTTGTCGGTATTTCATTGGGTCATAGCAGAGACCCTTGATAATAGCCGTCCACGGAGTCGAGGGATGCATGGAAGTCGGTGAAAAAATCGGCAATCGACCGCTGGAATTTGTGGTGGTGTTCCATTATCTTCATCAGTGTGAAGAGTAGGTTCACAAAAACTCTTTCACGATGAACCGCCATAATTTGACCTCATGTGGAAATCTCCGGTGGAAATGAATCGACTCAATGGAATCAACGGAATGACTTTACAAGCAAGTTTGATTAACCTAACTTCTTCTGATCGCCTTTTGAGAGAAATGAATTAGAAGGTACGTGGCTTAGTGCTTTGGGAAAGTTTCGGTTGCCTAGACGACGCGAAACAGCGGATGCAACGGTTCGGTTGGCATCGATAACCATAATTTGAAGATCTCAAGAGGTACGTCGTTATCGCCCAAAGATTTTCCGTTCTTCGAATCCATCATTGTGGTAATGATTTCTCACTTTCTCGAATGAGTCCTACTTCGGTGAGCATTGCACAGTACTTACGAAGGACAGCGACATTACTTGGTTGCTTTGATTCAGTAAATGGTTAAAATCTAACCCAACTACCGTTCACCGACGACCACCCGCTTTTCTCTTCAATGTCCAATTAAGTGCTCCAATGAAAACCACCGTAACAATACAGATCAAGTCCTTATGACCACGAGATTCACCGATTGTCTCCAGCGTGTAATATCATCATCATCATCATTGTACAGCGTAATACAGTGAAGTAAACTTCACTGATCGATGCCAAACTCATAATGCATACAAGATAAGTAAGAATGTGTAAGGAAGACAGGGATTGGGCCCATTTATAGGGACGGGAAAAGAAAGTGAACCTCTATAGTCAACACACACAGTACACAGCCCAACTGTGCATACATACAATTTCAAGCATTCTGGTCTGATAAGAAGTGACAACATGATCGCCATTGCTGTCGGTTCGCAGCCATGG